TTTGTAATTCTCTGACTTATTTTTCAATAGATAATTATGCCGTTTAAAAAGTTTGGGACACTTTTGTTAAATGAAAGTAGGCGGAAATTGAGACCTGGTTTTAATTGAAGCCGTTCATTATATAATCAGATTCAAAAAAGAAAAAAAACATTATTTGAGAGAAGTAGAGAGCAGGAAAATTTTTGCATATTTTTTCACAGCTATCAATTGAGCTTCCACATCATTTAACACCAGTGAATAATGTACAATAAAATTGCCTTATAAAGTTAGAGAGTGCTTTTTTTAAATCAGTTTTTACGGTGATTTCGTAACTTCTCCAACTGTTTCTTCACCCCCCAAAAAGCGATTTCTGTGCATTACTGTTTTACCAGCATTTGGAAGTTAGTTGGTATGATTAGACTGAGAAAATAACAACTCGACAGACAAAGTTGATCTTCTGATGCTTATTCACTACCGTCGTCATGGCTAACGCTTATCCGACCCTCATTCAAAATCGTGAAATCAGTATTCTATCACAGCTGACATACGACACTTGCATCGAATCAGTATTATAGTCCTTATCATTGCTCGTTTTATACTCCGAGCAGAATTTAGCCTACCCGTCAGTCATGTTCGACTTTTGCTCAAGTTTCTCACACTGATAAATGATTTAACGCTCATAATTAAGTTGATCAAACTGCTCTTGCAAAAATCATCTGTCATGCTAGTGTAATTTACTTCCTTCAATTTTTAATAGTTAAGATTGAATGTCTATGGATGATTTGATCAACCCTTGAACAGTTTATTTTTAACGTGGCAAAAAAAATCAATTTTTTACGTAATAGTTTTTATTTTTTTTTATGCTTCTCTTGTTTTGAAAAACAAAAAATTGTTTTCAAATAAATTTAAAAACTGAAACTTAGAGAAGAATAGATAAAACAGTCGTTTTGAAAAAAAGATAAAAAGAGGAGAAGATAAATTGTTCAGTGATATGAATTAAGTGGTTGGGAATTGGAAGACCACAGTAAAATTTAACCTGGAATTCCTTAACGGTACAAACTGTTTTGACGACCTAATAATACATCTGTGATACGTAATTAGATCATTTAAAAAGTGTACGTTGATGCTGAGTTCTTTTTTTTTTTTTTTTGTCTGA